CAAAACCTTTGTGGGCTCTTTACACCCAAGACAATTACCGCCTCCATTAGAACCCACGCAGCCCAAGTAACAGTCTTGACAAATCTTGAACTCACACTCGCACTTCCCTTTGGTTATGGCCTTCTCATCGTATCCCCTCATCCAGCAGACCTACGCAGATTTCGAAGTGGTCAGAGGTGAAATATATTGACATTAAAATTGATACATCTGTCAATGGAAAACACGAACCTAGAGAAACATAAAAGCAAAGAATAACTTACCACAGTTAAGTGATGAACCGTTCGCCAATTAGACTGGAATCGGGGGCAGTCGATGCGTCGGAGGTGTGAAGGTCATTCACTAAGACTGGCGTAAATTAGATGGGAATCGTCGGCGGTGGGTGTGTCAAAGGAGCGGGCCAATAGGAATGAACTTGCTTCGACGTCTTCCACCTCTCGCTAACACTCTCAGGCATTTTGTTACCACGGATAGGGAGAGAGAGTGAGATCGAGAAAAAGTGGGAGAGATTCGAAAAAATCAAAAACATCAAGGGTATACATAGGAAGGGAAACCCACCAGCAAAACTGAAAGATCATGATTTTTCCCTAAAAGGGGTTCCTGAGCGAAGAAGCTGGACGGAAAGAGCGCGCTTACTGATTTCTGGCAAAAGCGCTTCCCCCGGCCGGAGTATCAGGTCTTCGAGGAGAGTGGAGGAGGTTGGTGGTCTGCATCTGCGTTGGCGGCAGATGCGGCGACGGTGGAGGCAGATTTCGGCGAGTACAGGTCTCCAGATGCGATAGGGAAACAGAAAGAGGGAAAGAGGAGATTGACGATTTGTCGACTCCCATGCTGGAGTTCGATGGGAGTGGATGAAGTTGGTTATGCACGCCTGCGGTGGAAGCAGAAGCGGCGAGATTGGAAGGAGAGTTGACGATGACTCTGACTCTTCGTGGGCCAGTGGGCCCGTTCAAGGCAATATGACTCGCTGTATTTTTCCCGTGTCAGAAAATACCCCTCCGAGAAACGCTCCGGAGGCAGCAATTTTGAAATGGGGGATCAGTTCTAGGCTTCAGCATATTATAAATAGAGCCCATCTTTAGGCCACACAGCGTTACCATAACCATAAGTTCCATTGGTCTCCAACAACCACCTAGTGCGCTTAAACTCAGGGGGTGGCTCATTCGCTTAATAGACTTCACCAATGGAAGTCTTGTGTCCAATTTGGACAGCGATAGAGCTTGATCTTCCTCCTCGTCTTCTCCGTGGCATTAGTAATCGTTCTACTCATCTGCCTCCTCATAATTGTCAAAACCTTTGTGGGCTCTTTACACCCAATACAATTACCGCCTCCATTAGAACCCACGCAGCCCAAGTAACAGTCTTGACAAATCTTGAACTCACACTCGCACTTCCCTTTGGTTATGGCCTTCTCATCGTATCCCCTCATCCAGCAGACCTACGCAGATTTCGAAGTGGTCAAAGGTGAAATATATTGACATTAAAATTGATACATCTGTCAATGGAAAACACGAACCTAGAGAAACATAAAAGCAAAGAATAACTTACCACAGTGAAGTGATGAACCGTTCGCCAATTAGACCGGAATCGGGGGCAGTCGGTGCGTCGGAGGTGTGAAGGTCATTCACTAAGACTGGCGTAAATTAGATGGGAATCGTGGGCGGTGGGTGTGTTAAAGGAGCGGGCCAATAGGAATGAACTTGCTTCGACGTCTTCCACCTCTCGCTAACACTCTCAAGCATTTTGTTACCGCGGATAGGGAGAGAGAGTGAGATCGAGAAAAAGTGGGAGAGATTCGAAAAAATCAAAAACATCAAGGGTATACATAGGAAGGGAAACCCAACAGCAAAACTGAAAGATCATGATTTTTCCCCAAAAGGGGTTCCTGAGCGAAGAAGCTGGACGGAGAGAGCGCGCTTACTGATTTCTAGCAAAAGCGCTTCCCCCGGCCGGAGTATCAGGTCTTCGAGGAGAGTGGAGGAGGTTGGTGGTCTGCATCTGCGTTGGCGGCAGATGCGGCGACGGTGGAGGCAGATTTCGGCGAGTACAGGTCTCCAGATGCGATAGGGAAACAGAAAGAGGGAAAGAGGAGATTGACGATTTGTCGACTCCCAGGCTGGAGTTCGATGGGAGTGGATGAAGTTGGTTATACACGCCTGCGGTGGAAGCAGAAGCGGCGAGATTGGAAGGAGAGTTGACGATGACTCTGACTCTTCGTGGGGCAGTGGGCCCGTTCAAGGCAATATGACTCGCTGTATTTTTCCCGTGTCCGAAAATACCCCTCTGAGAAACGCTCCGGAGGCAGCAATTTTGAAATGGGGGATCAGTTTTAGGCTTCAGCGTATTATAAATAGAGCCCATCTTTAGGCCACACAGCGTTACCATACCCATAAGTTCCATTGGTCTCCAACAACCACCTAGTGCGCTTAAACCTAGGGGGTGGCTCATTCGCTTAATAGACTTCACCAATGGAAGTCTTGTGTCCAATTTGGACAGCGATAGAGCTTGATCTTCCTCCTCGTCTTCTCCGTGGCATTAGTAATCGTTCTACTCATCTGCCTCCTCATAATTGTCAAAACCCTTGTGGGCTCTTTACACCCAAGACAATTCCCGCCTCCATTAGAACCCACGCAGCCCAAGTAACAGTCTTGACAAATCCTGAACTCACACTCGCACTTCCCTTTGGTTATGGCCTTCTCATCGTATCCCCTCATCCAGCAGACCTACGCAGATTTCGAAGTGGTCAGAGGTGAAATATATTGACATTAAAATTGATACATCTGTCAATGGAAAACACGAACCTAGAGAAACATAAAAGCAAAGAATAACTTTCCACAGTGAAGTGATGAACCGTTCGCCAATTAGACCGGAATCGGGGCAGTCGGTGCGTCGGAGGTGTGAAGGTCATTCACTAAGACTGGCGTAAATTAGATCGGAATCGTCGGCGGTGGGTGTGTCAAAGGAGCGGGCCAATAGGAATGAACTTGCTTCGAAGTCTTCCACCTCTCGCTAACACTCTCAGGCATTTTGTTACCGCGGATAGGGAGAGAGAGTGAGATCGAGAAAAAGTGGGAGAGATTCGAAAAAATAAAAAACATCAGGGGTATACATAGGAAGGGAAACCCACCAGCAAAACTGAAAGATCATGATATTTCCCCAAAAGGGATTCCTGAGCGAAGAAGCTGGACGGAGAGAGCGCGCTTACTGATTTCTGGCGAAAGCGCTTCCCCCGGCCGGAGTATCAGGTCTTCGAGGAGAGTGGAGGAGGTTGGTGGTCTGCATCTGCGTTGGCGGCAGATGCGGCGACGGTGGAGGCAGATTCTGCGAGTACAGGTCTCTAGATGCGATAGGGAAACAGAAAGAGGGAAAGAGGAGATTGACGATTTGTCGACTCCCAGGCTGGAGTTCGATGGGAGTGGATGAAGTTGGTTATGCAAGCCTGCGGTGGAAGCAGAAGCGGCGAGATTGGAAGGAGATTCGACGGTGACTCTGACTCTTCGTCGGCCAGTGGGCCCGTTCAACGCAATATGACTCGCTGTATTTTTCCCGTGTCCGAAATTACCCCTCCGAGAAACGCTCCGGAGGCAGCAATTTTGAAATGGGGGTTCAGTTTTAGGCTTCAGCGTATTATAAATAGAGTAGATAGATTTTTTCGTAGTTTTTCGTCTGTTTTTCTTTATTATTCTTTTATTTATTTTTGGGCCCTTTTTTGTTTAAAGTTTGTAATTATGTCCTTTTCTGGGCTGCAATGAAATTTGGGTTAGAAATTCTTTTCTTAGTTTAAATTTTTGGGTTAATTCCCTAAATATTGGTTTTTTACCACCAATATGGCAGTTTAAAAACTATTTACACATATTGTGTGTTGTAGAGAGATAGGAGTGAGCTCGCCCGAGACTCGGGCGGAGCTCCTGGCAAAATAAATTGGACGAACCCGCCCGAGTCTGAGGCGGTGGTGCTCTTACTCCTTTTTATGTTTCCTCTCCGCCACTAAAATCTTATCATCTCCTTCCTCCCCCAAACAAACCACCACCACTACTCTACTTCCGCAGCGGTCTCGTCCTATTCCAAGCGGCCACGCCTCAGCTACCGATGATTTCGCATACATCTTCCTTCTTCCTCGACCGCATCTCCCAGCCAGCAGCAGCAGATTTGGGGAGGAAAATGTCTGGCGACGAGGAAGCAATCGCCAGCAGAGGAAGGGGGAGAGAGGGCGGCGAGGTCGAGGTCGTGGCGGCAACAACCGCTACTGAGATGAGGTGTTCGCCGGCGGCGAGGTTTTTTTTTTCAATTGAGTTTTTATGTTCAGATTAATTGTTTTTATTTAAGTTCCTAGGCTTATGGACAGTTATGCAATGAGACCACCACCTGTGACAATTGATACAGCTCCGGTGGATCCGGTACTTCTTTGGGACATAACCACCATCGTATTGACTCAGTTTGAGCAAATGAGGTAAGTTTTTCAACTACTTATATAGCTTTTTTATTAGGTGAACTGAACTAAAATTAGAATAGAATAACGCATGAAATATGTTGAAATTAGAATAAGTTTAGATTAGATATATTTTACGAGGTGAACTAAATTTAGAAGTACGTATGAAATTCAATTAATATAAGTTTTGTGCACTACAGACTGGTGATCGACCTTACCATATTCGAGGTACGACCAATTTAGTTAGGTACCATCCACATTATCAGACGTACCTCGTCGAGGCGGGCTTATTTACGATTCTGCCATTGGTCCCTATTACTGCTGATCCTGGTTTGATTACTGCGCTTGTAGAGCGTTGGCGACCCGAGTCATCGCCTTCCACATGTCGTTTGGTGAGGTGATGATCACTTTAGAGGACGTTGCGACACTGACCGATCTAGCGATCGACGGTGATGTCGTCATAGTAGACATACCAGACGAGGACTGGTCGGAGACGTGTCTCCGACTGTAGACGGGCTCCTACTGATCTTTCTGGCGGTGTCATTAGGATTGCTTGGCTTAGGGATACATTCGATCAGCTGCCTTCCTTGATCTCACTACAAACATTCAAACCAACAGAAAAAAGAAAAATAACTTCAGTTGAAGAAGAAGCTACACTCACAAGCCTGTGGTCAAAAGGAATAGATGGCATGATGCACACATACCGAATGGCAGCTTCACGAGCAGCATCTCGGACTTCTGGCTTCTCAGCCCTCCTCTTCTGGATGACCTCCAAAGAAGCACCAACAATGGACCTTGAGTAAGGCTTCTTGTTGGTCCTTCTCTTCTTCTTAACAGATTCAGCAGCAATATCCTAAGATGCACAAACAATTAACACCATGGTAAGCAATAGAAGGGATGGAGAATAGAGACATTTTCTACCACACACAAAAACCCAAATGGGAAACTGCAAAAAGATGGTTACCTTCTTGTGCTGCTTCCTGAACACAGCGGTCCAGGTAAGCTTGGAAGGCTTCAGGCGGTTGTGGAAGTACCTCTTGCATTTGGAGTTTGCAAAGAGGAAAACCTTTTCACCCAAAATCGGTAATAAGAGAGTAACAAGTCAGTTTCCAATCGTTCTTCCACAAGAAGCGGAAAAAAAGGGGGCTTTTTTGCAAACTCAATATAACGATAACTGACCTGAGAATCGGCACGGATGAACCTGATGCCCCTGCCGGGGTAAATCTTTTGGCCGCTGAAGCGGCATAGCTCAGTTCTGCAATAAACAAAACCCACATGACCGTCGATGTCAGCAAACCGAACCGTGAACGGCAAAGAACGAAGAAATGGAAAAGAAACCTAAGCAGAGCATAGAGCGATATGCCAGCAAATTCCTGGAACCAAGTTCTACAAAGCTATTATCGTAAACATGGAGAAAATTCCAATTTCAGGGAAGCATACGCGTAAGAAATAAACGAATTCAAAATTTCTGAATCAGATTCAAGGTCACATTGCTCTCGCTCCGAATCAGTCAAACAACCACAAAAATGAATCAAAATCAACAGCCTAAATGCTCCGTATAACAGGAAAGAATGGTTCGGAGAAAGAGCGAGAGAGGGAGTAGACGAACTTGAGAACCATGGCTATGAGATGTTGGCGTCGCCGCTTCGCTCCTCCTTCTGCTGCTGTTGTTGTGGTTCTCTGAACTGGTAAAACCCTAGTTCTCTCTACGCTCTCAAATTTAACCCCTACGAGATGGGCCTGCCGCGCTTCGCAGCGGGCTGCAACTGCAATTGATAATTTTTTCCTTTTTATTTTTCTCATTCTCAGCGGCCCACAATAATAAGAAACTTTTCAAAGTGGGTCAAGCCCACCGTTACCAATCTACAATCTTGTGTTATGTTCGTGTGTACTTAAACGCAAAAATTAAGGATCGTTTACTTGATGGATTTGGGACTCAAATCCCAAGCATGATGGATTTTAGCCAAGTCCATTGTTTGTTGTTAGGTGTTAAATCCGTGGGGTCCACGGATTTGTTCCCTTTTTTGGATCCAAATCCGTGGACCCCACGGACTTGTAAATCCCACATATTGGGGTGGGATTTGTAAATCCTTGATGGCTAGTTATATTTATGGCAAATCCATCATAATTATATCATCAAATCTATCATGCAAACAATAGACTCTTCAAATCCATGATGGTACAAATCCCTCATAAATCCAAAGGTTTTTTTTAGTCAAAACCCTCATTTTTCAAATCCAACAAGCAAACGACCCCTAAAACCAAGGTTTAAGAAACCTTACTGTACAAGTCAAAACTCACACGGATCACATTGAAATTTTCATCTCTATTTACCAAATACACATGGAGGCTCCCTATGATCATTGTTTGGAATTGTAGAGGAGTCAAACAATATAATTTATTATATAGAGGATCTAGTGAACAAATTTAGCCATCTCTGGTATCTCTCAATTCGAACAAAAAATTTAAGATATCAAATGGAGCTTGAAAGCAGCTAATTTTATAGCAAACGAGTTTCTTTCAGATAATTTTTCAGATCAGTTCTCCTTGAGAAATTCAATAGATCAAATGAAATTAGAAAGAGAATTACAACATGAAGTCTAGCCTGATTTTGTGTTCACAAAACTACAGTACTACATCAGGAGAAAAATTTCAACCCCAATTCCATAGCCCAATTCCCACATCACAAACATTTCAATCCCAATTCCATTATCCTAATCCCGCATCCTACTGCTCCTGAGTTTCAAACTCAAAATGTTACTTAAAGTTAAAACAGATACATTCAACTGACGTACGCATTTGCTAGTTCAATTAGGAGGACTAAACAACTAGTTAATCTCTTCTACGTCATCAATTTCCCGGAGCCCTTCCCGTGGGAACTTGAATGGTTGCTAGAACTGATAAAGAAGGTCACATGCCTGGCATTGTTCCTGCCAGACCTAGTCATGAAATAACTCACAAATTAGGTCAGCAATTGTGTTGATTAAAATATTACAGTACCGTCCTTAAAGAAGCACAACTCTTTCCAGAACATTGACAATGGGACATAGGCCTCTCTTCTTGCCAATCTCTATCCTAAGGAACTCAATTACATGTAAATAAGATAGGCTTCCTTGGAAACACACAAATAACTTCAACACTTCAAACAACTGGTTCCCAAGCATCAAAATCACTGCCATTTCCACATCAGAAACCTGCCAGAACCCTAAACCGAGTTATCTGCTCATACTGCCTTGGCTGTGTCACGAACTAGGGCAAGTTTGGCCAATAGGCCACACATCTGAAGATAGGATCCAACTCCATCACAGATTCTCATGTGGGCAAACCCTGTTTCCTGCACATTTCATAAAAGCAATGAAAGAGAAGAATGTTATAAAGACATCGGCTGAATCCTGCAGCTGCAAGGTGGTCTTAGAGATGAAAATCATCGCTTTACCTTCATGAATTCTAGCTTCAGATACTCAGCCATTTCATAATTTTTTATGATTCGGAAGAGAGTTGTAATGATATCAGTTGGGGAATAGCCAAGATCATAAAGCTGCTTCAAACCAGAGCAAGCATCATCAAACTTTCCCTCAAGGACTTGGCGAACCATATTCTTCACGTGCAGAGGATGAGGCTGATCGCATACCTGACTTGGTGGCAACACTCTGTTAGATTACAGAAACATCTTATTGATTATAGGTCCATAATTGGTTTGAGTAAAGTCTGAAAGTTTGTACCTTGAAAACATTCTCCTGGTTGACAAATCGGAATCCACTGTATGTAGCTTGCAAGTTATTGAGTGCCTGCCTCATATCCCCATCAGCTGTGAAAATGATGGCTTCAAGTCCTTCAGGGACGTATGGAACCTTCATTGATTACACACAAAAGAAAATGAGTGAATGTGCTACTCCCTTATTAAGCTACTATATCATGGCATTAGCATATAAGGAGTAATTGCATATGAAGACACCACTGCCAAGGGGTACAAATCACAATTTCACAGAGAGCTCAACCCAAATCCCTAATTCTCCTCATTAAGATGCATTATAATTTAGTACCAAAATCCAAGTGTCATTACTAAGCCACACCATACTGATGTCTGATTAGTGTTTTTTTTTGTTTTGTTCCTGAATCTGTGATTATGCTGGTGGCAATCTGACTGTACTGGATAACTGCATATACCCATCATGACGTCTTCTTATTCCATGGTCAGCTCCCAGATACTATTTCAGAGATGATTCTACCAATATCAATAATGCTGACTTGGCCCAAGGAACTAAAGGTCATATGGGATAGGAAACTACACAGAAGAATTGACATCGAATAAAAGTTTGACGTCACAGATTCTATATCAATTCCAAGATTGGCAATGCTTAATATTACACTATAGGCAAGCATCAAGCAGAAAGTAAAAGACTACAAACCTTTTCTGCTTCCACTACCACCATTAGACGACCAAGAATCTCCTGATCAGACAGTCTTGAAAATCGAACGAGAGCGCATCTGCTCTGAATAGGCTCAATCACTTTAGAAGATGTATTGCAAGCAAGAGCGAAACGGGTGGTCTGGGAGTATATTTCCATTGTCCGTCTCAGGGCTTGCTGTGCTCCTGAAGTCATGCTGAATATTCATAGTTCATCATCCATAAGATATGGGTTTAAGTATGACTTCAACAATTGATTTTTTTCATATAAATCCTAACAATTGGAAGTTCCGTAGTACTGGGATTATAACTCATCTCACCTATCAGCTTCATCGAGGATCACAATTTTGTGCCTCCCAGGTGGAAGTGTTAACTTCATCTGTGCAAACATTTTTATTTTGTTCCTCACCACATCTATTCCTCTGCACATTGAAACCACAGGGAGTAGGAAAAGCTACAGATACCAAAGACTCAACAACTGAACGAAAGAAAGCATTTGATGTGTCCCAGCACAAAAGGAAATGAATCATAAGCTTACTCACCTTTCATCTGATGCATTCAGCTCCAAAACACCATCTTTATAGCTAGGCCCAAGAAGCTCATGCGCTAGAGCCAGTATACTCGTAGTTTTCCCAATTCCAGGAGGACCCTGACAAAGTAGAGAGTGGCGACACCGCAATGTGAAATTCACCAAGTAAACAAGAATCCAAAACCAGAACTACATCACCGCGGAAAGTAAAAACCCTCACGTCCAATAGACCATTGTTAAGGAAACCCCATAATCGGGCAGAAGCAAATTTCTAAACTGAATCTGAATAGAAGAGCGAGCAGAAGAAGAGAGGGGAACGGTTACCGATAATATCAAATTAGGTAGGTTGCCCTGGGTGGCGATGACTTGGAGGCGGGAGACAGCGTCCTCGTTGCCGACGATATCGGCCACTTTGCTCGGCCGGTACTTCTCCACCCACGGGATGTCGTAGCTACTTCCGGCGGAGGAGGAAGACGAAGCCATTGGTTGTCGCCTGTTTGAGGAGAGCTTGACTTGGAAGAGAGCGGGAAGACTGAAAGGGAACCGAGGGAAAAAGGTTCAAAACCCTCACTCGCCGATTCTTCTTCCGACGGCACCTCGAATTCCGTCGTGCAACTGGGCAATGTTACAAAGTAGCAAGGTTGTCGACCCGCGGGTCAACCCGGATTGACCCGGACCCGCCCAAAAAACGGGCCAATGCAACCCTTTTGACAGTCAGCCCGGACCTGGTCAAACCCGGGAAAACCCGGTCAAACTCGGGCGGTTCGCCCGTCCAGAGCGGGTCACTGGGTTCTTCTCCTTACGCAGCGTTTGACAGTGGCACGGCGACGTTTTGGCCGGGAGAAGGCGGAGGGCAGGGTCTGAAATAAATAAAAAAACCCTACTGATCCTGATTCTTTCATCGCGCCTCTCCATTCTCGCGGCGCAGCCCTGCCTCCCACCCCACAGGCGACGCTCGATCGCCATCGCCGGGCCTCGTTCCCCTTCGTCGGCGGCAGGCCTCGTTCCCCTTCGTCGGCGGCAACTCGCTCCAGCTCCGCTCCCACAGCCGCTCGAGCTCTGTCCTCCGACCAATCTGAGTTTCGCCGCACCGCCATCTGCCTTCGACCACTCGAAACCTGGAGCTTGGCCGCCATCAACTTTCCTCTGCCTCAGGTCGGGTAGGGTCTCGTCGCCATCTCTAGCTCGAGTTCGACCTCCTCCCTCTGTTTGATATTCGAACTCAAATTTGTAAGGGTTTGGCTGATTTTATTAATTTATGAATGTTTGGTTACTTTTGGCAGGTGATAACGCGAATTAGATTGCCTATGTGGAGAAGTTGAATTAATGAATTGTTATTTGTTAGTTAGGGATTGTTGATGTGGAAGTAGAATTTTAGATTGGTTTTTTTCTTTCGTATAACTATGGTTTGATACAATTTTGTGATATTCAGGTTTTGAGAATGGCATCCGGCAATGAATCATCGCAACCGTCTGTTGGTAGCAATGCTGCTCGTAGTGGATATCGACAAAAGAAGGATCCAACTTGGGATTATGCCGAGCGAATCATCTCAGAAACCGGAAAAATGTGGCATAAATGTTTGTTGTGTAGTCATGTGATTAAAGGCGGAGGGATTAACAGGGTGAAGCAGCATTTGGCTGGAAGAAAAGGTGACGGTAGTCCTTGCCCACAAGTTACTCATGATATTCAAGTGAGGTTTAGGGCTTTGCTTGAAGAGTCGTATAGACCAAAAGTTGTTTCAAGAAAGCGAAATGAAAGTGAAGATGTTGATGAGTCGGATGAGCAAATCAACACAAGCTCAACAATGTCAAAATCTCAACCAAGTTTCTTTGCTCCAAGAACAACACCAGGAGCTCAGCCTGGCATTCGAAGTGCTTTTGCTGGAAAAGAGGCAAAGAAAAATGCAGATATGATTGTGGCTAAATGGTTTTATCATGCTAAGCTCCCGTTCAATGCTGCACACTCTGAATTTTACCAAATGGCATTTGATGCAGCAATTGTTATTGGCCCCTGATATAAGGTACCTTCTTATCATCAGCTTAGAGTTCCTTTGTTGAGAGATGTCAAAGAAGAATGCACATTAATCATACATGATTATCGCAAGAGTTGGGAAGTTACTGGATGCACTTTGATGGCTGATGGTTGGACGGATATGAGTCAAAGATCATTGATTAATTTTCTAGTATATTGTCCAAAAGGTGTCTGTTTTCTTAAATCCGTGGATGCATCTGACATGGTTAAGGATGCAAGTACTTTGGCCGACTTGTTTGGTGGTGTGATTGACATGATTGGGCCAAAGAATATTGTGCATTTTGTCACAGATAATGCTCCTAATTATGTTGCTGCGGGAAGAATAATTCATGAGAAGTATAAGAGCATTTTTTGGTCTCCATGTCTTGCACATGTTCTTAATCTTTTGTTGAAAGATATTTACAAGATGAAACATGTGTCAGACTTGGTTTCACGAGCTCAGAAGATCAGTGTGTTTGTCTATAGTCATCTTCCCATCTTAGCTTTTTTGAAAAAGTTAGAGGGTCGGAAACAGATTGTGCGTCCAGGAGCTACTCGATTTGCTACAAGCTTCATATGTATGAAAAGTGTGTATGATCATAGGCCACTGTTGGAACAACTTGTTACAAGTAGCTTCTTTACATCTCACAAGTTGGGAAAGTCTAAAGAGGGGAAGCACATCAAGTCAATTGTGTTGGATAACAATTTCTGGCAGGATTGTTTAGTGATTGTGAAGTTGACATTGCCAATCGTGAAGTTGTTGAGGATTGTTGATTCTGATAAGCAGCCATCTTTGGGGTATGTGCATGATGGAATGATGAGGATAAAGAAGACTATCAAGAACACTTTTATGGGCAATGGAAGAGGGGCTGATGTATATATGAAGTTAATTGATGCTAGATGGGATAAGCATCTTCGATATAGCATCTATGGAGGTGCTTATTATCTGAAACCGGTTTTTCAATATACTCAGGAAGCTCGAGAGGAGCGTGGTTTGCAAACTTGTCTTATTGATCTTCTTGAAACTGAAGGCCTATGTGATAATATAGAAGAAGCAATGCAAGATATTAGACTTTTTAGAGATAGGCTTGGAAGCTTTGGGAAGAAATCAGCTATCTCGTGTACTTCCACTTTACCTCCAGGTAATCAATTCTAATTACTTGTTAATTGTTACATATTTAGTTATAAGCTTACAATGTTTTCAAAGTTTATATACTTATTTAGAATAATTTGCCTGAATGAAAAGCTGAATGGTGGACACTATTTGGAGACGATGCTCCACATTTGAGGAAGCTAGCTATTCGACTTTTGTCTCAAACATCATCTTCTTCTGGATGTGAGCAGAACTGGAGTGTGTTTGACCAAATTCATAGTAAGCGGAGGAATCGATTGGAACATCAAAGATGGAATGATCTTGTTTATGTGACTTACAATTTGAGGTTGAAGAATAGGTAATGATTAAATTGTATACAACATTGTAAAGTTATTAACACTTCATATTCATATACTTAATTGTTTAATCTTCTTTGACTTGTAGGTGCTTGAAGAAGGAGTGGGCGAAAGACCCAATTGATTATGAACAATTAGATAACATTGATTTTTGGATTGTAGAAGAAGATCCACATGCAGATATAGACTATGAAGAGCTCGAAAAGACTCTTTATGAGGAGGAGGAGGAGGAGGAGGAGGAGGAGGAGGAGCAAGGATCATCATCATCTTCCAACAAGCGTCCTCGTGTTGAAGGTTTGCCTATTATAGCAACTATAGAAAAGTCTAGTCTTATAATAACTATCTTCTCATTGGTAATAATTATGAATATTTGATTTCACGTTTTGATGCAGAGGACTTTGAGTATGATGTGACTGATGAAATTGACTTCGACATTTCTCATCTTGTTGATGCAATGGAGATGGAGATGGATAGCTTTATCTTTGAAGATTGAGTACTTTTCTTTTGTTATTTGGAATTCTAAGTTGATGTTATGTGATGGATTTAAGAGTGGTGGATTTAAGGCTTCTTGAATTGTTAACTATGATGGATTAAGTTGATGTTATGTGAATGATTTAAGTGTTGTTGAATTTTTACTATGTTGAATTTAAGTTGATGTTATTTAAGTGTGTTGTAGTTGAAGTAGTGTTGCATTTTTTTTATGTTGGATTCAGGATAAATAGAATATATTGACTCTTTTCATATTTCCGGGCTAAACCGGGTGACCCATTGACCCATGACCCACTAGCTCGTCCGGGTCCGGGTGACCCATTGACAACCTTGCAAAGTAGTCACTGTAGTTTAAATTTATTATCCAACATCAATGCAATTGCCAAATTAATGGCATATAGTTTTTTTTAGGGTTAATAATATTTTATTCAATCTAACTCACTTTTATTTCATTGCACCTACATCAATGGAATTCACTTGCAATTGCATATATGATAATTTAAATAATTTTATAATAAAAAAAATAAAATATCAAGAGAGAAAAATGTTATAAACCCATTTTGTTATTGTCATCTCAAATTTTATTCAACCCAACTCACTTTTATTTCATTACACCTTTAGATACGACTAACCAATCAAACTAATAATTCAATTAGACAATTTGTCATATATCTAATATATTATGTATCACATACGTAATATTTTATCCGTTGTAATAAACCATCTACTAGAAGTTTTTTGTTGCTATACACTTATCAACATCACTCCCTCCAAATTTCACTTAAGAAAATTCCAAACCAACCTTTCAATTTTGGACTTTTTGAATTTGCATTCAACTGCACGACGACCTTCAAGTCAACCACCTATAGGTTTAGGATTCAAAGATGGGGGACATCTTCCAAATTAAATATTGTGTATTATAGTAGTGAAAGCATAGAGGATCTATGGCTCCTGTTTAACCTTGCACAATTGACAAAAAGTAACGAAATTTAGTACCATTTGCAAATATTTTCGAATGTACCGATTCTATCAAGATGGGCTAGCCATGTTATAACACAATTGTGAAGGTTTGAAAGGGTTTCCAAATAAGAGATGACCTACTAACCATCCAGCGAGGATGTTGATCGTGTCCCAGTATTTCTAAACAAAATAATGGCTCTCAAATCACCAACAACCATGTATTTAGTTTTTAACGCATTCTTCCATGCCCATTTGAAAATAGGTGGATATAGCTGGATCGAATACCTAAAATCCAAAAAATTAGAAGTGTTATGCTAGCTCTAGATGCAGAGAAGGGTTGAGTTGTGGCCCAGTTGGCCTCCCCTGAATTCGTCACTATCAACGTAGTAGACTCTGCCATAAGCTGGAAGCATTGCATGTAAATTTTGTTTGTGGAGAAGAAAGATCCATTCAACACTAGGATTGTCCGATTTAGTCTGATAGTTATGCAAACATAACCGTTAAACAATCCCTAATTGGGAATAAGAATGTGAGAGAAGAGGATCCACTAATCATGAAGGAAGGCACAAGTAGTTTAGGACTAAAATTGTGTAAGCAAGTTTGTGATTCTCGACACGGCTTGTTCTCACCTATAATCTATGTAGAATAGTAGAAGCAACATTTATCTAAAATGTTTAGACTATTATAAAATAATAGGTAAGAGAAACCAATGTGGGAGTAAGGTCTGAGAAAAAGATAGAAAAGGATAAAAAGAGCACACTTTGCTCCCACCTCTCTCCTATTTGAAAAAAATGACCATTGTGGGTCAAACCCTCGCTGCGAGGGAAGACCATTCCCTGAAGCCACCCAATAGGTCGATGGTCGTTTCTCTTGTGCAACCAATCAAAAAATCAAAGGCTAGCACAAGCACGAGATTCTCTAAGCATATTGAAATGGACGTCGTCGTAGTCACAACAAGAGAGGAAGATGAGGAGATGAAATTCACAGAAGAAACAGAGGACATGGACTCTACTCCACCGATAAAAACTACACTGGACCCATAAGCAGGAAAGGCCAGTTAGAGGGACTCATTCCTGGGAAACAGCATGCCAATTGATATTCCGGAAGGAGATGATCTTATGGAAGATGAATCAGACACAAAAGATGCAGAAGACGACCCTGATTGTCCGAAAATCAGGATCAAGAAAAGAAACAATGCGAAGATCTGCAATAGATGGAGACGAGCGATCATGTTCAGAGTCTTTGGGCGTTCATTCCCATTCGCCTTCGTCCATAGAAGGATTATGAGAATGTAGGCTAAGACGGGCAGAATGAAAGTGGGTGACATTGGAAACGGCTACTTCCAAGCCACCTTTGATTCTCAACTGGATCATGCTCGGGCGCTCTATGGAGGTCCATGGACGATCGAGGACCACTACATCATCTCTGAACCGTGAAGACTCGACTTTGATTCGGACCTCGATACGATTAACAAGACGACTGTCTGGGTAAGACTCCCCCGCCTTCCCCTAGCCTACTTTGATGAAGATATCCTCCTGGACATTGGAAGCAAAATATGAAGGGTGGAAAAGATCGACTATAATACAACGAATGGCTTCAGGAGAAACCATGCTCGGATCTGTGTGGAGGTCAATTTGCGGAAAAGACTGGTTTCCAAGTACAGGATTAAGAGAAGAGTTAGAAGGATTGAGTACGAGGGATTACTTGTTGTTTGCTTTGATTGCGGCCACTATGGCCATCTTGTAGAGAATTGCCCACAAAAGCAAATTTTGGTGAACCAGAGCCCGGAGGATAGCACAAAAGAAGCTGCTTGTCTGCAATCCAGTCCAGCAATTCGCGTAGAAATTCTGGAGGACTTCGGTCCATGGATGCTTGCAACGCGCCCAAAAAGGAAGGGGAACCAACAGAAAGCAAAAAAAAAAAACTTATGTCAAGGGCAGTGAGGAGGTCAAGGAGATGCCAGTGAATGCCTCTGGATCTCATTTTAACGCACTGGAAACATAGGAGGAACTACCAAATGAAGAAGGGGGAGAAGCAAAAGTGAGTGAGAGCCAAGCAGAAACCGTGATGGAAATGGAGTAAGAGCAGGAAAATAAGCAAGGCAGGGACTCTGATTCAAGTCCTGCAAAGATCAAGCACAACCAAAGTGCCAAACAAGGAGCAGACGAAGGCGCCCACAATCAAGGTGTGGCCTCTCCTGCTGCTGCAACTAAGCATAGCAACCCTTCTAGACAACTGACTTCTTTTGTTATAGGGAGAACTGGCACAAGCAAGGGACCAACTGCGGAAGCTAAGACTGAACACCAACCCAATATGAAGCAACCAGCTGAGGGGAGGGAGGACAGACACAACACGAAAGGGTTAATTAAGAACCAAGCTTCTGGGGAGGGACAACCTAGAAGGATTGTCTTTAATCCTAAGAAGGATGACAAGGGACAAGGGGCAGAAAGTGTCAATGAACTAATGGATACTACAACCGGAAGTATTCTAGAGGTTAAGAAGAGGGCTATGGCCGTTGATAAATGATTTTTCTGACCCCCGGGTCGATATAGGGAAGACTTTCTTACACCTTTCATGGTTAAGTTACTTTCCTGGAACTATAGGGGAGCATTGCGCCCCAAATTTCTTCCAACTCTTGAACTGTATAAGGCTAGTTATAGCCCGAATGTTGTTTGCATTTTGGAACCTAGGATTAGTGGTAAAGATGCAGAGAAAGTTATCAAGTCAATTGGATTTGATGCTTGGGAAGTCTCTGATGCAGTGGGATTTAGTGGAGGAATTTGGGTACTCTGGAACAGATAAAACTTGAACCTGGAGCTCATGGATTGTCATAAGCAATTCCTTCACCTGAAATGTACCGCTGGAGGAAGAACAATCTACTTGCTTACTACTGTCTACGCTAGCCCAAACGAGCATGACAGAAGAGACCTTTAGCAAAACCTGAGGAACATTGACTGCTGCTCAAGCCTTCCTTGGATCATTACTGGAGACTTCAACTCCATCACCAAGCCTTCAGAGAATCAAAGAGGAGCTCTTTTCAACTTTACATGGTCAATGCATTCAATGATTGCATTGATGAGTGTGGGCTGATTTAGGGGTGGGCAACGGGACGTAACGGGATATCCGTCCCGTTTGAAACGGGTACCCAATCCCGTTTGGAGATCAAAGTCCATCCCATGTCCCAACCCGTTTGGATAAACGGGTACCCATTACCCGTACGGGACGGATAACGGTACCCATATTACCCATAAATACCCAAAGTTTGAATCAAAAAAATTTTAACAAAAGTTTAAACTTAATTTGTACTTGCTTAACAATCACAAAATCCATCCCAAATTCCCAATCACAAATACTCGGTTTGCAAACTACACATTCATAAACAATCACAAAGCATAGAAATAAACATTCCAATTACCCATAACAACTAAAAAGAGTTGTTGGTTGCTACTGTTCTTCTTAAAATAAAAAGCTCCATTCGACAATTCGAACCGGGAAGGCAAGCTGTTGTTGTTCTGCTGCCCACCCTGCTTCTGCATGCTGCTGCCCACCATCGAGCTGCTGCTGTTCAAGCTGCTATCGCCTGCTGCAAATCAGCAGTTCCATTATCAACAAATTAAAGGGAGAAGCAGGGCACAAAAATTCACCAAGTGTTCTACATAATAACAACAAAGTCAAGGGGAAAGCAGGGCAGAAAAATCCAGCAAATGTCACCCAAAAATCAAAATAAAAACACCATGGAAAAACTGAAACAAATCAAAGTACAGAGGAAGGAAGATGGGCATGGGCCTGTGTAATTTTTGAATGGGTAAAACGGGTACCCATATTACTCAAACGGGTATTTGCGGGTAACCCGTGGGTACCCATTGTGAAAATGTACAATCCCAAGTCCCGTCCGTTAATAATTTTACGGGTAATATGGGTACCCGTAACCCTAAAAAAATGGGACGGGTACGGGTATACCCAAATACCTTTCCTGTTGCCCACCCCTAGGCTGATTGATTTGAGGTTTACATGACCTAAGTTCACCTGGTTTACCAGTTACACAAGGATCATAGAGAAGTTGGATAGAAGTATGTTTAATTTGGAATGGCAACAAAAATTTCCTGAAACTACTGTGTTCCATCTGCCTAAGCTG